CGACCCAATGAGAGCGTCGGAGCGAGTCACGTGTCGCCAAGTCCCGGGAGCGTATGAGTCATTGCGTCAAACACGAGGCCCGGAGGAACCGGCTGTCGTCTGCTGGCCAAGAGTCGTCTGCTCCGAAACCAGCCAACTTTGGATGAACGTCCACCGCCGCAACATTGCCGTCCGCTAGGGTAGCGAGCTCTTCGGGAACAGATTATGGTACAACTATACGCTCAACTTACTGGCGAATCTGTGCCGGGCGCTAAAGCCAGGCCGAAGTTTTGAGCGGAAGCGGTCGGTTACAGGGCCGCGATCGTTCAAACATCGTTCAAAACCCAAGTTGTTCTCGGAAAATGGTTGATCCGAATTAAGCATCGTTAAAACGTAACATGTCTTCGCCTTTCTTTTTTTGTCGCGTCGATAGAGATGCAATCGAGTGAGTTCAATTGCAAATAAAAGAAGAAGAACAAAGACTATAAGAACTACTTTTTTTGTCGTGAACGGCGCCGTAGCTGTGACGGTAACGAGGCCTCCGTGGCCCCGACCAAGGAGTATTTATTGTCACGTGCTTTGCTCCGACGCCCTTACTTGGTCCCGGCTGTCGCAGCCCCCACAGTTCGCCGCCAAGTTATCGTGAAACGCTGAACAGGTACCGCCATCTCTGGAACGAGTTCAAAACCTTTCTGGCGATTGATATCCTCGGCTTCGCCGCATCCCTTTCGTGCGCTGCTGAGGAGCATTTCACGAGGTAATTTTATTGGGCGATGGCTCTGACAATCTTGTTTGCACAGGACATCAGTGTCGACTCTGTCGACATCCACCAGCATCTTCGCTTTTGGCTGGTTGCCGGGAGTCTTCAAGGAGGAAAAAAGGGGCGGTTTTGTTTATTTATTTATGCATTGTTCCGTGTACTGTGACCACAAACAGCTCTCGGCCTTGGTAGGCTGAGATTATCGTTGACGCTAAAACTAAGAACAAAAAAGAGTGGCAATATAAACCTTAAATCTACCGTATGTTGGGGGCTAGAGGGCGCGGGCAGTACGCGTTTAAAAGTTGATATTCGAGGCTGTGCGGACTATCTACGCATCCGGACCATAAAGACATTTTGTTTTTCTAGATCGTTCATTATGACAAGACGTAACGGAATTTATGAATGAAAATGTATGTTAATGATGAAATATGTACATTGCAAGCTTATTCATGAGCTAAAAAAGCAGACATTTGTCAAGGTGTGCCGTTTATGAGGATATTTTCGTGTCGACTAAGCACCAGGTGCGGATTATGCACGGCGTACGGATTATGCACCGAGTGCGGACTAGCTAAACAAAAGCTTTTATTTTTGACCCCAAATTTTCCACTGCGCACTGCGCACCGCGTGCGGACTATGGCACGAAAAATACGGTAATAAAAAACCATAAACATGACAAGATCCCGACAAGTCTCTTTCTATAGCTCAGGTTTATTGCACCTCTATCTTTTCTTCCTTAGACCATGCGATGTGGCACCCGTGACAATCCGACAGACAATAGTAATCTGTTTACTTATCCAGAAAAAAAAAAAAAAAGTATCGCAAACTTTTTTTTATACGTTGACATTATCTTTGTTTTTGTTGCTTCCATAAATGTGTATCAATCCTTAGTTGACACAGTCGTTTCTCATTCGTTCGTAGTGCATTCTGCAACGCCAAACCCGAACAAGGTCGTAGTAGGTAAGACACCTAGAAACCATCACACAAAAAGAGCCAAGCACAAAAAAGCATCAATTGCTGAAAAATTCCCTACCGAAAAACCCAGTATAACTTTTCACTACTTGGATTACGGAACTGGAAATATAACTAAAATTGCTTCTGGAAACTTAAAATCCACATTTCAGACAAAGGAATAATTTATGAAAACCCGAAATCCAGGAAGAATCCAGATAGATTTCCAGTTCCATATTCCAGGTAACAAAAAGCTATGCGGAGCGAAACTTCGTCTGCTTCTTGCGCAGGAGTTGCGGTGACGTCAGGACGACGCCGTGCTCTGATTGGCTTTGATCGAAAGATAGTCGGTTGACCTCAATGCTGGATGCATTGAAGTCTACGCAATATCTTTTTTTCAATCAGCCAATAAGAGCTGGGCGTTCTGACATCATCGCAACCTTTGTGCAAGAAGCAGACGAAGTTTCACTCCGTATACTGGGTTTTTCGGTAATGTTTGTTTCACGGGATCCCTGGCAACTGCGTCCCTTCTCGACTTTTGAACTGGATCTTATTACCCAGAAGCCTGCCGCCTATAGAGATCGGAAGCGCATAATCTCAATCAACCGGAAGTACGTCGCAGGAGCGGAAGCGTGTCTAGTTTCCCCCATTTCCCACAAAAGTCTCCGAAACCTGTAATACGAGGACGACAAAAGCCCCCTCCCCGAGGTATAACGTCCGTGTCCAGCAAAGTCTTCAAGCGGCGCGCTCTCATGTTCCCTTTCACTTTGCGATATGCCGCGGCGGACGCTGCAAGACATGCCAGCCCACCCAGCGCTGTGAAGGCACCCCCTGATTATGCACCGCGCGCGTTGCTGCGCCCCTCCCCGAAAGTCACGCGACACACGGCATTCGATTGGTTTGGATGGTTCGTAGCGTGGCTGGCGCACGGCTTCCAAATATCGAGGCTTTCGCGTGGGCCTACGGCTGGTTCACACACTTGCGTTTACCGCGTTGCGTCATGCAGCACCAGTTGTTATGCAACACCGTTTTTTTTTTAACTTCAAGTTTTGCTATTATTGTCCGCATTCATTTTAATGCGAAAGCAATAAATGGGGCCCCATGCAGTGAACCGGCGTGATCAGTTCTTGAAGCCACGCCAAGCACCTAAGTTCCCCTGTCTTATGGAGCGAAGCCTGTCGTTTGTAGCAGCGATTTGATAGGTATGCTTCTGTTGGCTGGCGCGCGTCATAGTTTCAAAGAACGGCGCTCCCATTGGCTGGCGCCCATCATAGTTTCAAGGAACGCCGCCCCATGACGCTGCGGGCCCCGCGACGGTAAAAGGAACACGGTGGCGCGCGCTCGGACGCTTCTGCTCCTCTCGACGACGACGAACATGGCGGCGCCTCAAGCATCAGCATCGTCGGCAGCCGCAACCTCGACAGTAGCGAAACCTGCCCGTCCGCGCAAGTACACCGCAGACGAACTAAGGGAGCGGAATAACGAAGAACAACGAGCGAGGAAGCAGGCAGCGATATCCATCATCGTTGTCAAGTCTCCGAATACACGGCGGGCGCAACAAAGAGCAGCGCAACGCGCTAGGAGGCAGAACAAAACCATTCGAAAGCGTGAGACCCAAGCGGATCGCGATTCAAAGCGTCTAAGGCGGCAAGAGAACCAAGACCTTGAATATTCATGCTTTCGCATTCACAACTCATAAGAAGTGATTAGGGGTCCTCGGAATTTCTTAAACCAACGGTACATTACAAAAAACATTGTTCATTTTCATAGCACGCCAGATTCTTTATGCCTTTCTATTTGTGCGCAATTTTAGCCATGTTCATTTTTTATGCACGTCCAGTCAGCCTTTAAGTTAGCATGACCATTCTTGTAGCTGTGGTGTACTGAAACTGCGCGCGAGCGTGAAGTACGTTACGGCTTTTCCAAACGCCCTTCCGCGAGCCCAAAACTTCGTCGCTTCTGCGTCCAAACCCTCTCGAGCAGGACCATGCCTGTGTCAGTCATGTTATTAAAGCTAATGGCACTTCGCCCTAAGACTATCATGGTATTCTTTCTCGCTCTGTGCGAAACAGCGCCGCAGGATGCTTTGTCGCTGTAGCAAACGTCGACTTCCCTCTTAGACAACGGTGCCACGTGCGATGTTGGAGTTTTGCGGCACTTTGGGGTCGCGAACTGGTTCGGTCCGTCCTCGCTGTTGTCTGTTAGTCGTTTCTTTCGTGTGGATGCGCTTGAGAGACGGACGAACCACGGACGTGACATCACGTGATCAATCCGTTCGCGAATCAGTCCGTCGTGTGAGTAGGCCAATAAAAAACGCTGGTAACATTAACCGCCCAGATGAGACCATATTTGATAGCCATGCGGCAGAAAGCAGACCCGCGCGATCACGACAGCCGGTTACCATACGATTACCAGAGGTGATCCCACGCACATTCTGGTCTAGAAAAAGAAAAAAAAGTGCGTATAAGTTATGTGACTAGGCTTATTTATATCCATTCATTCAGTGTATACGATCACTCGCACTTTTTAATGGTGGAAGCAGGAGCAGGTATCTTTTGCCGGTTCACCATTGACGGAGAATGCAGCATCATGCTCCACATTTTTTTCTGCCATGGGACGATTCAGGTAACACTGGTTTTCCCCCAGAGCCATCCTCATCCTCCAAAAGAAACGACCCGATTCTTCTCTAATGGTGCGTTCGCACAACTTGCGAAGTTTTCCCTTTGTGAAAAGGAAAAAGATTTGGTTAGGGCTAGACGACGATTAGTACCATGGTTGGGGCGGGTGGCTTTCAGGCAAAATATCTGAAAAAAATTGTCAAACTACATATTTTTTGTTCTATTCTTGCTATGTCGTCAGCCGCGCAATGTACAACTTTGCTTGAAACTTGACGCTGTACCGCCCACAAAAAGAAAACAAGGGCAAGTCATTTTAAATCTATAATATTTTTTTTTCACGTTATGATTTAAACCTTATAACTATAATGAATGACAATCTTTAGGAATGTAAAAGTGCTTTACCAGTGCATACAACACTGCTGTCTTCTGAGATGAACAAACGCGCACCAAATAGTAGACAGGCATTTTCCATGCCATTTCAAGCTATATGAACCCAGCCGATTAACCGGTTAAAGAAATTACTGGCGACTGAAACATTAATTGATTAATTGGACGGTTAATCGATCAATTGCCCAGCTCTAAATTGGTTGTTTTTTATTTGAAACAAATTGTTTTTCCTAATTAAAGATTAATTTCCATCAATTAAAGTCTCGTGATCGTATTAATTCGGCGCCGAAATGCACAAGAAGACAGAGTTCAATTCACATGTTTATTGTAACCAGAAAAAAAAAATCTTAGATTTTCTCTTCAGGCATATAGTAACACAAAACGCGCTAAGAAAAGAAACATGCAATGATGAAATATTTAGAACTATATACAGGATGTGCTACTCTTCACCTCTTCTTTTGAGCAACCACTTTTTAGTTAATACGCCAGTGCCTTGCTGGGCGCTCGTACCATAGGCTCAGCGATTTTACATTTTGAGAAAGGTGTCAGTTTCATTTTGATACACGTCATGAACAGTTAATCTGACGAATATGTTTCTGTGCACATTAATTTTAAATGTCGCAACTGCGGTATGGTGTTTGCACTTTTATTACGTCACAGTTCGAGCAGCCGCCGGTTTTGCTCTTCTTGATTGAGACTTGTAGATGTTTAAGGATTGTGGTGGAATGTTTCCAATGTATCACATTGGTCAATAGTCCAATACAATCCTTTGCTTACACGAAAGAGATTTTTAGATCCTTAAATATTGACAACTTTATCCATCAATGTTTCCTTTTTTATATCAAACACTGGCTGGCAATACATAAGAGCTAGCTTACAGATAAATTATTTCTATTCGTAACTTACACCGAGATTCTATCAGCTTCAGGAACGTCAATTTAGTTATTTCTTTTTTTCATTTGAACATGGAAAGAACAACATTTTACAAAATCTGGTGCTGCTGCATTTGCTTAAACAAAAAACTAGAGACTTATAATCCAATAAATGTGTTTCTGCAAGCATATGCAATGTTAATGTGAAAGTCTCAATTGAAATTGTATCAATCACGCAGAACCACGGGTGGCATTAGCGATCTCAATCAGTGCGCGACATTATAAAAAGCTACAGGCTTACAGAGCGTACCGAAAACATTGCAGTATGACATCGGGAAGTATCACTTCAACTCAACACCACCTTACGGTCCTTCCATCATATGGCCTTCTTGAAGTTTCCGATCAGAATGTTTTGAAATTAACAAATCAATTTGGCTCTAGAATGTACATACGTTACGTTTGTGTTATAATAATGACATGGACCAATCACGTTTAATATACTAACCACTCTGAAACGTCGCTTAACGCAATGACTAGCAACAATGAACTTGCAAACAAGAACATGGTCTATAAAGACATTGACCCCTACGAGTCCAGCCATACTTGGCATGATTCAAGCCCGTAGTTGGGAACAAACAGTGTCATACGCGACATGTCAACTTGTACACGCTAGTATATTTTTAAAAGTACCTTGTGGGCGTAAGCCCCAGCTCGGTATCAGTGCAGAGGGCACAGTATTAAGCTTGTGTAAATACATCGTCTCACATTTTCAAGAAACCAGCATTGATCAAGCTCACTCGAAATGTCATGGAACGAAATGCAAACACATTTTGAAAGGTGATCACTTTACAAAGTACAGGTGTAATGTCTGTTATAGTGACCTAAAAAAAAATGAAACAGCAAAACTAACTGTCACAATTGCTATTAGTTTGATTTTGTTTCTCTGCCAAGCTTCGGGTCAACACTCATTTGATTCTAAGTACTAATGCTGTCGACATAGAAAACGTGTTAGGTAAACATCTCGAAAAGCGCATTGCAATCGTTTCTCTATTAAAGAGTGGACTGGAAAGTGATGGAATTTGGACACGGGCACACTTCAAGACAACAATCTCAATTATTGAAGTTCATTTGATCTCAGTAAAAGTGACGAAGGGCATGTGTGGTATTCCCTTCCCTCACTCTACTCAACACACTATAGAACCTATGAATTCCAATTGCAAATTTCACATACTTTCTTGCCCTTTATGCTCTTACACCTTGCTAACAAAGCTGTCCTGTCAGTTTCCAAATTCTTCAAGGCACTCAAAATAAATACATCATTTTATACACTGGTGAACAGCGCTGGTGAACACCTCGCATCTGACCGTGCACAAATACTGTCTGCGCGTCAAGCACAGATATGCAATTTGCTTATGGATAAACAGAAAGTGTAAGTTGGTCACATGTTTATGTTCTGTGTATATAAGTCGCTGTTCTTACCTACGGTTATTGAGGCACTATACACGCTGCACATCTCCAATGAGTCGGCACCGGTGTTATACTTCCTTATTTCTCGCAAAATCGAAAGAACTCGCTGTGGCTGAGGCGCAAGAGAGAGAGAAAAAAAAATCAGGTTGTTACAAACTCACACGTTTCTTACAACTATAAACACGTCTCAAAACTCTGTGTTGCGCTAAGTATAATAGGTGCGACATTACATAAATATACAATTCATGTCGACCATGTCGTCATTACCATGGCATGAGACCGGCAACAGCACTATAGGAAGAGGCATTTCGCGTTAGCGTCAGAAATGTGCTGCGTCGTATATGATAAACTTAGTATCAATATAAAGATTCAGCTTGACTGTTGTCTTGGGGTCACCCTATCATCTGCTGCACGCAATGTATCCAATCAAAGATTTGCGAAACAGGTTGCATTTCCGCAGCACTGGGTCAAGCAAAGTGGCTTCGGGTCATTTGACAGCATCCGAGGCTTGACAGCACCGAGCGATGATCCCCAAAGCATATGCGCACCTCCCCAATAGCAGTCGCCGGAACAATGTTTGATGTTGGCACAATGACTATTGCTTCCAAGCAAGCTTATCACCGTTCAGAACCTTCGCCGTTTTCGGCACACAAAACTCTCCCTCGTCGCGAGGTGACGGAGAGCAGTTCTTCGGGAAAGGCGCCATTTGGCCAGCTTGTCTCATATGGTCCTTCTCAGAACAGCATGAGTCAGCGAAAACGTCTTCATGGGCACTCACTGCGGTCTGAATGGGATGACTATATACAAGCGTATCACTGTACATCTCTGGCAGGTCCGTCTGCCTTGCACTCCCAGAATCAAACGTGCTCGGTTCTGATATGGGTTTCTGGTCTAGGGTGCATCTGGAGAGGACATTTTCTGGCCTGGGCATAACTCAGTATATATCATATGCTGGCTCTGGGTTGCCCAGACCAACACACGGTGTCAATCCCGTTGGCTCAATGCCAGTCCGGTAAGTGACGATGTTCTAAAAAGAATGAAGAATGAAATGCGTGACATTCAACTCCTCTAAAACCTTTAGGGTCCTACAGAAAATGTACATCCGACACAAGTTTCCTTTTCACACAGAGCACCATCTTTGCAGGAGTATTGGCTGCAATACCCTAGAGTGTATCTTTTCTTGTTCCGCTCGCGTGCAGTCATTACACTAGTTTCTTCGGTGGCATATGTACATGTGCTCCTGCTCCAGTGAGCTGTAACTGCAGAGATGTCAAAAGTGTTGAACGTTGATCTCGACCAAGGTAAAATTTACCGCAACTAGTGCTGTCCTTGTGGAACCCATTAGCTAAGCGTAAGTGAGATGGCTGGTGATACAGACGCCATATTATCTCTTCTTGAACTCTAAATGTAAGACATGTTATGTACAAAAAGAAAAAAAGAGCAGCACAACTTGCTGGTATGGTGATTGCAACAAAATTATAAAGCTGGTCATAAAATATGCACCTCCCCTGGGCCATCGCTGTCCTTGAAGACACGTCTGTAAACTATTTCCCCATTGTGCTTTCGGCAAAATATGCGGTTGATTATAGTTCAGAACATTGCTGTGCAATATATGCCTGCTACATTATACTGACAAGGCATTATTAGAATCTCTGATAGTATCTAGATTCAAAGCCTTATCAAATCAATCATCTGGCTATCATCAACTATCGCACTAAAAATTTAAATGCTCTAACTGAAACTGACATCAATGGGGATTTCATTGCGCGAGTGTCGGGTATCCGAGATATCTCAGCAGCAATGACACGCACCTTTATGAGCACAAGATCTGCTGAAAACATCCCCTATGTGAAGGGAGACATATTTCACCTTCTCCTACTTTGGCCTGACATTACCTCTTTCACGATTAGACCAATCGATGTCGTCCTACACTGATGGCTGTCATTCTTATCTGGTCTCTAACTGTTTTGAACGTACGCCACGAGGTCTAAGAACAATGGCGTGGGGCCCCACAGTCTAGTCTCCATTGTACCTGAGCACTTGTAGTGGTTCTAGCCTTTCAACTTCAACAGGAACTGAGGAAGGAGTTCTTAAGACGACCTAAGAGTCTAAGCTGGCTACCCCAAATGGCCAGGCCGGCCGTACTCCTCCAAAGAAGGTGCTGCTGCGTCGATGGTGGGGGAGAAGGGGGCGTCTATGCGGCGGGCACGCAGGCCAAGACGCCCGGCCGAACATCCACAACAGCGTCCCACAGCTTGTGTCTATGCGAGAACAGGTCCTCATAGACCTGTCTCATATCGACTCTTGGGGATGTTGAGGTTGATGCCGGACTCGGACTCGGAGTCGCCGTTTTCGGTCTTGGAGTGGTTGTAGTAGACGGGGTAGTCGTTGTCGTCGTCGCCATCGCCGTCTTGGTTGTAGTTAGGCAGGGCGAGCGGGACCTGGGAATCAGTGTGCTTGGGGCTGTGGGTCTCGATGCGGTGGATCTGGAGCTTGGGTCCCCAGTCGGCCGTGGGCTGGCTCAGCGTGCGGATGCGCTGTTGTGAAAAAAATAGCACCTGGCTTAGACATTCAGTCAAATGCAGTGAGGGTGCGATGGCACTTGATAGGGCTTCGAACTAGCAGCACTTGCCATCGGAATTATACGCAATGTGACACGCGGTGGAGGAATGGGAACCTATAAAGGAATTCTCTTCATCCACGCACTTATTTTGGGGTACTGCATCATTTTCTCGGAAATGCCGCCAAACATACAGTCTGACCGTGAAATGCCTCTGCGCCTACTAGGTTACCGTACTAACATGCAGTTCCTACCTACCCAATTGCCCAGCCCTTCTTTCTACACACAACCCGGGGGAGGGGGGAGGGGGGCATATTGCTTGTGCGCGCTTTGACGTCAAACCAAGGCAGAGCGTTTCAGCCATGGGAGAGCGTAAAACCACGATGATAGTATCAGGAATGATACTTTTCTACACTTTGAAGCTGACACTCCCTCATATGGTCTTGCCTACCACGGTCAGACCGACACGAGCAAGGAAGAAGCATGGAGGGTTCTCATATAAAGCTATAGCTTTAAATCGAAACACGATTCTTTGAGGTTTGAACTATCGACACGACAGTCAATCGCTTTCCGAATCTCCCATGAAGCACTGGTGCATATTCAATAGAACAGTTGAATGACCGTGCTATCGGTTATTTTGCCTTCAAGCAACCACCAAGTTAAAACCCCATAAACATCATATCCAAGATTATGAGAAGAAGATGAACAGGTTACCATCATTGAGTTCCGTGCTGTCTAATTTCTAGTGAATAGGATCCAATAATTTAAGAGACGATTATGGCTCTGCAGCTCTTGGATTTTGCTCTAGTGAAAAAAAAAAAAAAATTGGCAAGTGAATTTGGGCCGACTTGAACTGGCGTCCTCTGTCTGTGGTGACTGTTGAAGGGACACCAAAACGGCTGACCCAGTTGAAAACGAATGCTCGGGCTACCGTTTCCGCGGTGTTGTTTTCCGGAGGTATTACTTCCTGCCATCGGGTAAATCGGTCCACACAGGTCAGTAGGTAGGTAAAGCCACGTGAAAATGGAAGTGGGCCTACAATGTCCACGTGGACATTCTCGAAGCGAGCCGAAGGCAAAGGGAACTTTCCTAGTGGTGTTTGTGTGTGGCGCTGTATCTTTGATGTCTGGCAGGCCAGACAACAGCGCACCCAATCTCGGATGTCGGCATAGATCTTAGGCCATACGAAACGGGATGTAACTAATTTCTGTGTTGCTCGTATGCCAGGGTGACAAAGAAAGTGAAGAGGTGTATATACCGCAGGACGTAGCTCACGTGACGCCTACGAGCAGGTTTGCCGTTTGAAGTGTTGATTATCAATGTAACGTTATTGTCGGGAAAATTGACTTCCTTGAGCACGAGTGATGTGTCAGTCAGCCTCATGGGATGAAGTTCGTCGTCTTCTGCTTGAGCCGCGGCGAGTTCGGCGTAGGTGAAGTGCTCCTTCTCCGTGTTGATCGCATTGAGGTCTAAGCGAGACAAGCTGTCTGCGACACTGTTGTCTTTTCCCTTTACGTGGCGGACGTCGGAAGTAAATTCCGCGATGAAGGAAAGATGTCGCAGCTCTCGTGGTGAATGGTTCTGGCTCGACGACTTCATTGCGTAGACCAGTTGAGTGTGGTCAGTGGCAATAAAGAACGCGCGGCCTTCTAGAAAGTCTGTGGTGTCTGACTGACTGAAGTGAATTTGAAGCGCATGAATATCATTTGAATCCAGTATGCAAATGGCATGACATATTTAGTGCAGAAAAGAATTTCGAAAAAAAATGAGAAATATACCGTAGTATTCTGTCTTTCCTCTTTGTGATACGAACATAGCATATAAAAGCAGCCAGGACAATATCTTACTTTCGATACTTATCAAAACAGACAGAATGAGGAAAACAGCACACTCGGACGAGGACACAAAAAAGCAACATATAAAACGCACGCAGGCGCCCAGCTAACTATCCTACTTCAATCAAGCACCTTCCTGAACCCTGTTTTAGACCGCACTGACGAAAACGGCATAACTGCAAGATGTCAAATCCTTCCAATCTTTAAGGCCAAATTCGTGCTCACCGTTATGAGGGAGCCCCTAGCGTGGTAAATCTTGAAGATGGCCACAGCCGGAATGGCGCTGACTGACGTGAAGGAGAGCAGGTAGCCAACCGCAGTGGCCCAGGACGGGTATACGTAGTCGCCATACTTCGTCACGGGCATGCTGATCCACGAGAACACCAGGATAAACTGCGGAGAGAGTGGAGATGCACTGATTACTCTGAGTTAAGTGGTTCAGTTAGACTTTATATTTGATTAAAGACATGCAAAACGATGTATTGGCTGAAATTTAGGTGGTATTTTGCGAAGTAAAAGCCGACGTACAAACTTATTGTTTTTGAATGGTTGAGCATGTTGTTGAAAACTGACGAAAACGAGACAGGGATCTAGAGGCACTGCACACGGCACGGTCTTTTCCCTGTCATATGTATAGTCTTCTATGTCCCTACTACGTTTCGTAAGCTTATTCCCGTTGAATAAATAAGCATAATTGCCTCCTTTCCTCATAGTCGCGTATACTTAAGGTTGTCAACTAAAACGGGCTACACGTGGAGGACGGATCTTTGTTCTCTACATTCAGGTGGGGGATAGCTAATCTTGCATAGCCCCTAACGGAAAAGACATCGCATTCTACACACTCTATACACCACAAATGGTTAAGTAAGTGGTGATATGACTTTTGCGCTTTCTGGGTGTCGATGTAGCAGCCCACAGCTACTGCGATTTCCTTTAGCATGTTCATAAATGATACTTAAAAATGAAAATATTTTGAGATTGCTAAGCTTGGCTCAAATGTTTGCTTACTCAGCATCAGAAAAGGTTTTTTTTAGTAACTGCAAGGTTAGTGGCCTCACCATGATCATTGTAGGCACCAGGAACTTCCAGACAAACCTCCAATAGCGCCTTGGGAAAGGATAGTGGTTCAGCATCACTTTGATGTCTTCCATGAATCGGTCAATGCCTGTCAGAAGACAAAGAGGGATCTTTAACCACAAAGGACACTGAGCATGGTGAGAAATTATACTGGGGTAACTTATTTTATGTGCTACTACCATAATGCGCCATGATAAGAAAAAGTTTAAACCTACCATAGACCCACGCGATGACGATTATTTCCACCAGTCCGATCATCAGAGCAGAGAAGCTTGCGCAGTAGTCATCCATCAACTGAAGAACGTACATGCCTCCCTGAAAAATGTGAACAAAATGGCAAGGCAAACAGTTGAGATTCTCTGAAGAAGAACCAAATGATGAGTTCATTAAGTGAAACTTGTAAGTGAACAGGTCGAATGAAGTATTTTTTGTCATAGTATGCAATGGAGAATTCTCTCAACCAAGGTGAACTTAGAGACTTGGCTGATGCTTTTGCTTGAATCAGTTGGGAACCTGTTATAACTTTAACGCTAGTGTAATGAGTGAATCGGCACAAAAGCAATTGTATTAATTCTTGTAGGAGCATAGAGCAATGTGCATTCCCGTGTAGCTGTAACCATAGTTGCACTTCAAAAAAAGCAAATTTGGTATTTTGGAACTACGGTCTTCAAAGCATCTGCTACTTTGCGGCAGCATTGCAAGAAAAAAGAACAGTAGTAGCTGTAGCAAGCACTCACATTTGTGCAAATTATCAAGCCTGCCAAGTAAAGAAAAATGCAGCAGACGAGAAGCACTAGTGGTTTTCGGTGTTGAAGCTTCTCCGGGAAGGTATCGACGATCGTGGTCACAACGGTCTCAATCAGAGTGAACTGCAGAAAGAGAAGACACATTTTAATGTAAGTTCATATAACATAAGATGTACCAGGCAATATTCCCAGTATGCAGTTGCTCTGTCAACAGAAAAGGCTGTACCTGTGTTCCCATCCCAAGCGTCATCAGCATGAAGAAGAAAAGGAATGCCCACAGAGGTGGCAGGGGCAGGTGGGTGACTGCTTCTGGGTAGGCTACGAAGGCAAGACCAGGACCTGGGGACAAAGCATGGAATATTCTTTTGTTCACAATGTCTTCATTCTCTATGACTATGTCTCATTCTTCACCAGGAGGTAACAAAAACCCTTGTCTCTGCAAGCACACAGCAACAATGTCCCGGATGAGTCAGCACATCACCTGAAGTAACAGACTCGATCCCTGGCACCTTCACACTCCTGAAAATTCTATTAGTCTTACTTACCTTCGCTTGCATGGTGTCACAATTCTCCCACAGAATAACACTCAAATCAGTACGACTTCAAGGCACCAATCAACCACTAGACATACCGAGGTAGAGCATCGATTTAATGCTTTCAGGCCACATACACAAGCAGTTGGAACATGACAAATACAAGCACATATCCTGGTGGGCACCAAACACGACGGTCTGGAATGGAAGGCTCTTTAATGTCCTTCACCGGAAGTACATGAGCATGACATGCCCAGTGACACTTCTGAAAGGTCCACAGCGGACTCGATGATAATTGTGTCAGAGTTTGGAGAACCGTCGTCATCCTCTTGTCATCTTCGCCTTCACCTCTTTCCGTGCACACTTGTCTCCGATCCTCATTCCCAGCCAGAGACTTACCTCTTCTTGCGGCCTTTCCAACAACTTGGAATAAAGTGCAAACTCTTTCTTTGGAGACGTCACAGACAGTCGCTTCGGCACCACTGATCCCAGAGTTTTTCAAAAAGGCTCTGGTGTCCCAGATAAGGCTAGTTCAACGAGTGACTAGCTGTTTTGCCCCAAAATAGGGCCATCTGTATAGCACATGTACAAGACCATTTAAACGTAGCTATCAAGGTAGGAGAATCACCCCGCTGCCTTTACAATGATGCAAAACTGCACAAGCTTCTGCAGTGTGTTAATTTTCCATACTAGGATAGTGGTGCGCTCCAAGATAGGCCGCCGGGACCTGCGGCGCCCCGACTGTTGAGTGCAGTTCCAAAGAAAATAGAGCTTCACACTATGGCAGCGTTTGCCAGTAAAGCTCCAGAGGGCAAGACTCGCAAGTGTGTTGCAAACATGGCAACGAGCGCCACCAGGACATCTTGCCACGTCCACTCCGGCGCAAGCGCCGAGACAGCACAGTGTATGAGGCACGTGCAACTGGTTTGCAGCGCCTCTGGGTGTGTTTTTTGTTTGTTTGCAATTACCTTGAGCAGCGACTTGTGAAACATCCACACCAAGCTTGTTTGCCATGAAACCCACTATGCTAAAAATGACAAAGCCGGCGAAGAAGCTCGTGCCGCAGTTTCCGAAGCAGATGAAGAGTGTGTCCCTGCGAGCAGAAAACGTGGGAAAAAGAGGAGGACGACACACCGTTAGCGTGACTCAGAGCCGAGTGCGTCCTTGTGCAACAAGCGTAGCCGGTGCATGTGCGTGTAAATGGTCGAGAAATTAATTTTTCCGGAGGAGAACTCACCTGTAGCAGTTGTTATGGAAACGGTTGTAACTTGCTAAGGTAATAAGGCCTCCCCAGCATGGAGACAAGGAAAAGAAGATCTGCATTGCTGCGTCGCCCCAGACCTGAGACAGTGGCAGGGAAAAAAGTCTATGCAGTCGTAACATGGTAGCCTTGCTTGCAAGAGAGATTCCCAGCATTGGGATTGGGCTAGAAGCGATGGCACGCTCGTTTCTTTACGAGGTATGTAGTCATTGTATTTCTCTTTTCTATGTTCTGTTTCTTGTCATGAATTTGCTTCTATTCATCAAGTGCTGCTGTGAGAAATGCGATGCTGGCTCCACCTATTGTAGTGAATAGCAAATTAGGACTCTGAAACTATGCTGAAATTGTTTTATGCTTCCAAAAATTAGGTTGATGCACAAACAAGAAGCTAATACTCATCAGACCTTGTATATCGTTTTTGTTATTATTCCGACATACTAATTTTATGCAGTTATTTACCTTTGATATGCAAATGTTTGGCATACATGTGATCCACATGTCCTATGGCTGCTAGTGTGTTGCTTAGCCGTTGTTCTTCTTCAAGTGCAACAGCAGCTTTTAGCACAACTCTTTAGTACAATTTTGAAGGTTCTCGGAGAAGCCACAGAGCATGACTTCATAAGTCTTTAATGACAAAAGCCGGAACAAAGTCTCTGCATAGAATCATGGTCGGTTGTTTCACCTTAGATTGGAAAAGCTTTTGTTCTTTTCTGAATTGTTTGTCACATCCATGCCCAGCATGAGCTGCAACAGACACTGATATCTACTGATTTAGCTGCCAAACAAAGTTTATTAGATTCCTCCAGCTTTCCTTGAAAGATGTCACTGAATAAATTTGTAGTACTTCGGGATTAGTTTCTGAAAACTAGGCACATCAAACTGCAAGTTGGGTCGCAGGCCTTCAGTTAAGGATTCCAATTCAAGACGAGATACAAATCATAAGGATTACAAAGCTTACGGGAGACCATCAGTGCCATAGCGGTGACCAGAACTTAATCATTAGGTCACAGTATCACCTTACAGTTCAATCTGAAAAGACCTTTGATGCACTGATCAGCTCACAGTAATCGTGCCATTGCAATTCCAAGCTGTCTTTGCAAAGCAAGGAAGAAAGAGGTAAATGCTAAACTTGTTTTTCCATGAGTTTTTCCTTACTACGGGATCAGTTTACTATAGAAATTAGGAACTGTAATAATCTAGAAAAGTAGAGACAGGGCGGCAATATGATCTGACCCAGTTTAGTGCAAGCTAAAAAGAGTAAAATGCCACATAGAATGCCTCTGGCGTGCCAAGCTATGAAACCAAGTGTGAAAATGTGGCAGTCCATTCAAACCACACCTTTAACGGTTTAACATACTCGGGTCTTTGCGTGGCTTTCGCGCCCAGCCACTGGGACAGTTCATAACGCCGCACTTCGTAGTTATGGAAAGTGCTGTGGAAGTGTTAGGAAAAGTTAAGAATGGCTTCTCTCCTCGAGAGATAATTCGCCTACCCGTGCTTCAAGGAGTCGGTGCCATTGTGGCGTCAGGTAGAACATGATGCCGTCGTAGGAGCCTTCTAAGGTGCAGCTTCGGACGAGCAGGATCACGAGTACGACGTACGGAAACAGGGCTGTGAAGTAGACCACCTGGAATGGAACATGTTGGGAATGCTTAGTCTACGCCCCTTTCTCCATCTCTACCCTCTTTGCCTTGAACTCTCGAACTGGGTTCCAGGAACTCAGAAGTTTTCCAAGGTACCTTCAAGGGTTCCTCTCAAGCTCCCAAATCTGATTGGTCATTCCTGGACCCGAGTAAAGCTTTTTTTTTGTTCAGTTTAAGCACTTTTTTTTCAAGATTTTCGTCTAAGGAATTCACTCATGCATCACGATGTGCCAAGCACTTCTGAGTATGTGTGTTATTGTTCACAAGGTCTGTGGGCTTCTCAACTATTTTACAGTCTTTACAGCATCGACGCTCAGCCTAGATGGAGTTCTTCAGCTGTCAGTCAAGCAAGATGGGCGTTTTTAGAGATTGGGAAGTTGGAGGACCCCTGCCCTAGATCAAACACTCGCTATTGAAAAACGACACCCGTGGTTCGGCTTTTCTTTTTTTTTTTTCCTTATTAATAAGTTAGCATTAGAACCTAAATGACCGCCAAAAGCTGTCGGCCACCGTCCGTGGACAAAGGAGTGCAAAGGGATGCGCGCCGCGTAGAGAGGAGGAGAGTAGTAAGAATAAAGGCGAGAGGAAGGAGACGTCATAGGTGAAGGCCAGTGCGTGCACGGATGCTGGGGTGATTCTAAACTTGCAGGTGTTTGGAGCGCGTATGCCTTGGTTTGTGCTACAAAATGGAGTGTAAAACAAGTACTAGCACTGGTCCAAGTAGACGGGAAAAAATTGAAGGAAGATCAACTGGTGGATCTTTAGGAATGCGTTGGCATGACCTTCAGGAAACGCCACACTCGTCCTTCAATGGGAAACGCTAACACTGACCCCATAACGAAGCCAAAAAGAGGCGGAAAAAATAGAGGAAGCAAAAGAGAAAGCCATAGCAGAAAAGTGATTAGGTTAGCGTTAGCGGTTCCCAAAAAGGGACGTGTGTGGAGTTTCCCTGGGGTCATGCTAACGCATTCCCCAAGGATCCACAAATAGAGTTTTCTTTAATTGTATAGTGGGTCAATCATTGCGACCGACTAAATGCAGGAAACATCCTTCGATCTTGATCTGCGCTGCATTCAGGGCATGAGAAACATCGCATCCAGTGTCGCAGCGCACGTCACATCTTTGTGTAAATCCGTCATTGCTGTCCTGTCAATAATCAGGGTTCTGCGGCAGGTCTAGGCGGTCAGCTCTCTTCGTCGGCTAAAGGAAAGTGGCTGAACCTGCCGTGGTGATAAGCACCTAGCTCCAAATATGACGTCCTTTAAGGAATGTAAAACATTTTGAGACACAGCTCAGTGAAACTTTCATAGTATGTAGTATATTGTCTACAGATGTTGAAAACTGGTCAGATTTCGTCTCCTATTTGCTCCTTCTCGCGTAAGTTGAAACATGGTGGCGAAAGTCTAAAAATAGTCCCCAACCACTTCCGGTTCTCAACTAGACGGCGAGTTTCCCAGTATATGCGAGGTCAAATATATACTCCATCATCTGGAAATGGCCACTTATAGCACTGTCAGACGTAATTCCCTCTTATAATTAAAAAAAATTATGAGTAAAAATTTAAAAAATATACGTGAACCGGAAGTGTGCTGGAGCTGCCCAATAGATGGCACCACTGAGATTGTTACGAAATAAAAAAGTGTGAATAGCGGCATAAAATTTTCGGAAAATGATTTCAAGGTTTGTGCAACCATGTGCCTATAATAGCTTTCCTGCAGGATACAGGTAGTTAGTAGGAAAGGCGCTCTTGTCAAGGGGTCATAGCTTGACTACGCTACATCAGTTGTGGTTTTCTTGACTTTAAAGGAGCTGTGCAGCAATTTCAGTGCATTGCTTGAATAATTTGGGAGTTAATGCCTCGACCTTTCTGAAGTAAAGAACAAAAACAAAAACGCTTTTGCCCCCACGTTCTAGTTTTTACTTTAAAAATGGACAAAGATTGAGGTTTTCGGCACCTCTCAACTCCTTCACCAGCTTACGAGTGACGTGTGCTGTGACGTCAATGGGGGCCGCGCGGGGTTCCGGTGAAACTCTCTCTCTAAAGCCGTGAGTGAGCAGCGAGAACTCAACCGCTCGCGACCGCGTGACCACGTGCTGGCGCAGCGCGAACAATATGGTGAAAGGAGGAAAGTCTCATCCGGGTCCGGCCACCCCCGTCCGGCTCTGCCCCCTTTCCTCTCCGGCTTCTGGTGGCTGTTCGCGGTAGCAGAAAGAGCTGACGGTTTTGTGGACCCAGGATAGATGGCGCCATTAAAACTCCCTATAATAAAAGTTTTTTCCATGGTACCAGGTTTTTGACGCACTTATATTTATGTTGGAACGACAAGATTTATAGAAAAGTTACCTTTTATGAAGCAGATATTTGCGCAACTTCCAACTTTCTACAAGACCCCCATTGACGTCATGCCGCGTGGTTCTCGTGGCTGCCGCTCGCGGCTGCAGGTCTGGGGAATATTCTAATTTTTGCCTCGCGATTACATGGCGGAGTCGAAACATTTTGAAGGAAGGAGGTATGTTTTCTGTCCTTTGTGACAAGATAAACAATGTCAAAAGTAGAAGATGCCATTCTTTAAACCTTAAAATTGTTATGCAGCTCCTTAATAATGTATGTATTTCTCACGCAAGTATTGTGGTTTTAATGTAAAAAATAGCATGCCCACCAATTCTTTTTGCTCGATGCTACATGAATAATTATTGGTATTATATGACAATTTAAGAAAACGCTGCCTAAATTTTTTTCAACAGCTTCATACATCTTAAAATTTAGCAGGAGAGTCTATACAGCAGGAAATCGTCATTAAAATGCTCATGCATCTGGTTTTCTGCAATGGATTTAAATGTCAATTGATGTATCAGTGAAAGCAGTCCATAAAGGATAAGACAGGTAAATCTTTCATACAAAATTCGGCACCCGCTTTGCGACAATAAACACAGCATTCAATATGCTGAAAATTCCCCGCGTGTTACAGTTTCATCTGACAACTATCGGTGCCTCGTCATTTGTCAGGCTTTACCAGGAAGCTAATTCGCTGGCCACTTTTATAAAGATTTAATGGGCTGTACACAAGTTAATATGGTATTTCTGAAGTGTTAGCAGGGTGTCACATATTTTTTAACGTAAGAAGTGTTTCTTTTCCGAACCAAGCCAAACTCACCTTGCCCATTGTCTTCACCCCCCTGGACAGGCAGAAGAAAACAATGACCCAGCATGCCAGCAGACACAGTGCCAGTTGCCACCGCAGGCCTCCGAGATCATGGATGCCTTCAGTCAGGTCGAGGACAAAGTTGCTGCACGAAACAGAAGTGAAAGTCCATTTAGAGAGAAACTTTATTAAAACCAGTCACGTCCGGGTGATTTCAAAGCACGATTGAGCAGGCGGCATTCGTATTTCTTAAGCCTAAACACCAGATATGATCGGTTCGTCTACGTGCGTTATTTATAATGGTAGTTTTCTTTCTATCTATGGGACACCACATTAATTTATGTTACACTATAACAGGGTCTTAGTTCACGACCATCCAGTAATTCTTAACATGCAAAATAGGAAAGAGAGAACTCACTGAAAATACTCGTCGCTCGCCATCTTGGTGTTGTCCGTGGAGTTGACCACGGAGTCCCATACGGACGGCTCGACCTCGTCCTTGATGACGCACGATCCGTTGGACAGGTGGACGCCTCCGTGAGCAGTGCAGTTCTTGGTGTCAAACTTTCTGCATGCTGTAGGTGGTCAGCGAACTCAGTAAACTTGCAGGGCCCGATACCTTTCCAGAAACATTCTGCCCTCTGTGGTTGAAGGTGGGAGCACACCGGGCATAAAATGCTTTCTTCATCTCTTCAAACATCTAGAATGAGCTATAGGTGTCTTGGACTAGTGAAGATGTCTAGAAATGTGCCCAGGAGACATGTTTTCTAAACGTCTAGAACGTATTTTTACCTAGATGCATCCAAAGATATCCAATCCAGTAAACTCCAAGACGTTCCGCAGACATCTTAGCTGGACATTCTTAGGCGTCATGAAGCGTCTTGTAACCACCGTGTAGCTCAACGAATGCGCTCGTTTTGGGGTTAAAAAATGCTTTGTAAGATGTAGATGTATCAAAGACAGCTGGTTTTTATGTGTCTAAATATTACTATTTAGAATCACAAAAAAGATGCATAAAACGGGTTCCGCTTGCACTCGAAAAGAACGAAATATTACCCAACTTCCGAAATACTTGATTCTACTATACTAATTTCAATACCACTCGGTAAGTTCTCCAAGTTGTGCTTCCTTATGTGCGTCAACTGAACACGAGGGTCGGTGGTTGATTGTGTTAACGCATTGCAGCTCGGAGCGCGTGGAGCGAAAGCTCACACTGCAGAACCTGGGATCCTGGGCTTACTCCACACACCCGCCCGTTTCGATCTGGATGGGCATCGTACCGGCGCGCGGTTGTGTATCACTCCCGCGGGTACATGTTAAAGGTCCCAGACTAGCAGCGGAGCTGCCATGGCTAAATTTCTCATCTACAGCTGAGACACCAGACGCCCATCGAGGCTGACTAACTTCCGGCTGTCGAAGCATGCGCGCAACGCGATTATAAACGGAACGCGGGGGATTTTCTTTATTATGGTTAAGTCCCCACTTTCTCTGATTGAGAACCTACGGCTTTTTTCTTGCAGTCTAACTATAAAAGTTAGCGAGCATTCTGAGGGCGTACCGTTGGTGTTCCACCAGTTGTCGCAGGAACTCCACGGTAACTGCGTCGTCAGGGACGACAGTAGGTAGAACATTGACCAGGCGAGGATCATGTTGTAGTAAACGCCGACCAGCGTTGTCATCATGAACATCGCGTAGCCGATACCTGCGAGGAAAATCGAGCATGTGTTAAGATACCGAATGTCTGTTTAAGGGACCAAACTTCACTGTTTCCGAACGGAGCTCAACCAGAGCCATTACATAAGCTACGCCTCAGAGTAATGACACTTTCACTATTTTGGTGCTCACAAATCGTTTTGCCAGTGATATGAAGCTTTATTTAAAGCTTTATCTGAAGTCGGACAAAACACTTTTGCGTCCTCCAGAAATGTTATAAACAGTTCGTGACAAAACGATATTGCCTGATCTTACTGACGCTGCATCTAAAACTCGGGAAGGCGCACTTTCGAATCGTAACGATCGCCAATTGCGCCAGCTCTGCACTGCGCACCAAGATGGCTGCGCCCACAACGCAGTCGGGGAGTGGCAAATTGACTGGCTCTAAGCTCGCTTTTCCTTCCTTTAACGAGCAGCAAACTACAAGTCGCGTACGACGTCTGATTTCACACAGATACAAAAAAAAATGAGAGTATATATGCTTCTAATGTTATTTTGACCAATCAGGGAAACAAAAATAGGCACCAAACATCATGTTAAGTGTCCGATGTTTACTTTGTCTATTTCTTGTGTCTCATATCTAGCTAATTTACAGCTGATGTGCTTGTGGACACCACGCGATGCAGGGGCTAGGATAATGTCAATAATTAGGCAAAAGTTATTATGCCTCATGTTTGAAGAAATGCAACAAGGACCTATGATGTGCACTATACCACTTTACCCTCCCTTGCTTTGATGTACCTCGGTTTGCTGCTTCGGGTAATTTTTCACCCACAGGTCGCACTTAGTGCAAAATATATACTTATAAACTTTTGTTTTTCTCTCAGCAAAATAACTTTTAAAAACCCTAATATATGGATTCCCAAATTGAATTCCTACGAGCCCAGGGGTTTCTCAAAGTACCCTTGGGACTTCCCCGAGCTGACAAATTTCCTCATTTGTCCCTGCCCCCCAAGTAAATTTTCTTCCACTTTATGCAGTATTTAAGAATGTTTGAGTCATCCACTGAGGTATACCTACGTGCCCAGTGCTCACCAAGTACATACATTATTATTTACAAGGTCTGCCGACCTCTGCACTGCTTTCATGCAGCAATACAAAACCGGTTGGGCTTCCTCAGTTATCAGTCGAGAGCTTTGGGCATTCCTTAAGATTCCACAAGTTTGGAAACCCTTGCAAATAGAAAGAAGAATAAGAGGGGTCAAGCGAAGTGAGTGCACTGTAACCAGTGAGGCTGGTTCATTAACATTTGAATTTGAGTAGGATCGACCGCGTTGCGACCGCTTCCAACCGCTTACGACAAGAAAGCACACTGGAGCTACCTTTGAGGTAACCCTAGAACACTTGTCTCGTTATACGCAGGCCGAAAGTGTTTCCAGGGCTCCCTGATAGATGGCACCGGTCTGTTCTCTCGTCGCAAGCAGTTGCAACGGAGTCGATCACGCAAATGTGTGAGCAAATTAGTAAGCTCGGTGCATGCAGTGAAAGTCATCATGTCGGATGATTGAGCATACCTTGAAACAGGGGTGAGATCTTCCAGATCGTGATGGGGCCCTCGCTGGCGTACTGGCCAAACGACAGCTCCAGAAAAAAGAGTGGAAGACCAACGAAGAAGAGCATGATGCTGTACGGGATGAGGAACGCTCCTGCAGCAAACGAGGAAAGAGACCACTATTAAATTGGATGCCCTTGTGAGTTGACGAACACGACGGTACCAGGTGCCCAGATGTGCCTGTCTGGATTTTTAGGACTTGAGACTGCAAGAGGAAGAGGCTAGCTATTTACTTGTTGTGCTAAGGAATAATCTGTGGTTTATACACACACACACCCCCCTACACCCCCCCCCAACCCCCCCAACCCCCCCAAGTTGAGTTCAACATTTCCCAAATTTCTTACACAAAGTACAGAAGCCTATGGTAGACACCCATCTATACCCCTCTCATAAAATTTATAAAACCATTTTGGATCACAATCCTGGATAACCCCCTGGTAAGCTTAAAGTCGGTGTTTTTATCAGCGATCTTGAAGAGTCTACTAGTTTGCAGATCTGGCCATCTTCACACGTGTATGTACAAACTTGCAAGCTTTGGAATACAAGCGATGGGACAATTCCACAAAATTTGAAATGGTTTAGGAGAAAATTTACTTCAACAAAAAAATAATAGGGTACAAGTAGGTAACAAGCGTTTAAGCGATGAAAGTAGACGCCTTGTTGCGTTGTGGGTTACTGAAACATCTGCGACGGAAAACCCCAAATTTCAAACTTCAGAAATTGGTAACTGATTGAATCGCAAACACTATCTCATCAAGCCAGAAACATTTGGTCATTATTCCTGGAAGGTATTTATTTTAAATCAATTCATAAGCACACATCTTGTAATTACATGATGTTCAGAGTCAAAAAGCACTCAGGAAAAATTAATTTGACTACCTCTATAAGCTGTTGGAGTTACAAGAAAAAAACGTAAGTAGTAGATAAATAGTTTAGCATAGCCTGAATTGTAAAAAAGAAAAGATGGCACGGACACTTGCCAAAAAGTAAGCGGAAAATTCCAGAAATTAACTCCGAATTTTAGCACGCGTTCATGCAACGCAAGCCGCACATCGTCGATGCAAAACGTGATGGTGCCTGCGCTCTCGTAGTATGGGCTTCCCTGCGTCAAAACAAGGCTTGTGGCGAAGCCGCACGTTTTGTTACATTACTACACGGCGAAGCCGACCTCGGAGAGCTGAGGAAACCTATCTTCTGAATATCGCCAATACCGCATTAAACCCTTCAAATGACCACCTGCCCCTTTGCTAAGATAAAACGCCGCCGAAAGGATGGATGGACGAATGCATACGGCTAAACCCTTTTGATCAGGCGGCGGCTAGCGCCACCTAGTCAGGACACATTTCAAAGCATCATTAGTTAACGGTTACCTCAGCCACGTCCTCGATCTGTTGCAGGGTTCATATCAGCTTCTTTCAAATTAGCTGCATCGTCTGCACCGGTGCAGAAAAGTGTAGTGCAGCCTACTTTCGGTGTGTTTTTTTTAGATACGACCGTAAGTACACCGCCCTACAATTTTCTGCACCGGTGCAGGAAGTGCCGGTAAATCAAACGAAGCTATTGAGATGTACCATCAAAGGCGCAGTAGTTTGTAATACTCGCAATACGGCGGCTAGGCGGCGTCATTCCGGTCCCATGAAACCGCCATTCAGAAAATGCCATTGGCGATTACAGTAAAACTTTACGGCCTACTTTTACAGCCTCCCGTCTTCTTGGCGATGTGCGTAATGGATGTTTTATGCAATCAAGAATAATAAACAACCCTGTTTCTTTTGAAACGACTAGTGCTCTGGTCACTTGTCGGTAGCATATTACTCCGTGCCAAAGGCACTTAAAGCACGTTTCACATGTAGCAATTTTGCGCCTAGAGCGGCGCGATTCCAGCCGCCGCGGCGCTCTGGCCAGCCGCAGCGGCAGACTGGCGCGGTTCCCTAAGGTTGAAAAGTTTTCGCGGCGGCAGAGCGGCAGCATTTTCGCTGGCCATTCACAGCGCGGTGGAGAACCAGGTGACAAGAGGAGAAGCATGGCGGTAAAGCCTCGCAGAGGATGGCGTTTTCACGTTTTTTTCGCGTAGGGATCGTTTGAGAGATTGGGGAGGGAGATTGTCCTACCCTTCCTCAAAATCTTCTGCAAGGAATGTCTGAAATGTTCGGGCCTGCCTTAATTTGAAACCGATTCCCGCCCTCCCTGTTCTTACACCGCCGGCATTGGAACTGTGCTTGCAATGCCACTTTACCCTTTCCTCTTCCCTTTTCTGTCAAAACCTGTCTATATTGGCATCCTTGTAACTTTCGTGTTTAGAGTCTGAAAGTTAGTTGTACCGTCGTGTTTCGCTTCGTCACAAACGCATATGTCTATTTGGAGGACGGCCACATTTGTTGAAGTCGTTCCAACCGAGTTTTCAACCTCCACGACAACGAACTTTCAAGAATAAACGAACAAATAAAATCAATTTTTTTTGCGCTTTAAATGGTTAAGTTGCTTTAATAAAAGAGAATTAAGCAGTAAACTGAAATCAGACCACTAAACTTTTATCAAAACTTCATCAAGCAACATTGTGGTCGCCATTTCTCGGCCACGAGGAGTATGATCGGATGTAAGTTCTCGCCGAACGCTGATGCAGACCTCGTGTTCAATGCGTACTCAGAGTATACGCGATCAAGCGACAGCAGATTCGGATAATGAGTGCAGCGGCTACTCGACAGCATCCACTTTCGGAAAAGGGTCTATGGAGTGGATGTCGGTGTCCGTATGCAATCAATACGAAACTTCCATTCTTGAGGACCGAAGCCGGAAGAGGTGATAAAAAGCATCCGGGTGAACAACTCGAAGCGGAAGAGCACTGTCCACGCCCTCCCTCAAGGCACGCCTCAACTCGAGGAAGTTCGCGGGTTGCCCAAGGCCCCGCTTCCGGTGCCTTTGAAATGTCGCCACAACACGGTCATCCTCCTAAGCCTAACTTCCTGGTTATAGCACGCGCTACGAGCGCCCCGTAAAACTGGCCTTGATTCATTGAAGCGTTTCATCTCGAGTCAAATATCACTGCTCAAAAACGAAACTTTATGCAAAAGCGTGTAATTTCGGTCGCTGAAGCTTTTACGAACCACCAAACGTTGGACGGGAGATATCGGATGACGGAGGTGTTACGCCGTCAGGTATGGCGACACACCTGGAAGCTATTCCTTGTGTGCATGAAAGCAGGGTCAGTCAAAAAGGAAAGCTTCCTTTTAAGTATACTTTTTTCCTGTTGTATTGAATTAAAGCAGTAAATTTGATTAGAAAGCTATTCTTTCCCTGCTCTTTGTATTTAGCAGATTTGTTTTTCTAAACTTTTATTGTGGGTTTTTTGTTTGATGTTTTTTTTAGTTTGTAACAGTGTCTACAATAGCGGGTATTAAAAGATACCTGCACAAATGGTGTGGGTTTTTTCCCGGCATGTATTTAAATATACTGCCACTCTCGACCGTCATATGGTTACGGAGTCCCAAGGATTGGTACCGTTTCAAATTGTGACAAACTTGCTGTCAGTATACTCCATTAGTTCTAAACCTCAACCATGCCCCTGTTAAGCCGCAATCGCAACTGCGATTTCGAACACACAAAAAAAAACGATAAAAAAGCGAGATATTCTCTTTCAAAACAGTAAGCGCCACGCCATAACAGATCCCTCAACGCAAAAGCACACGTCGTACGCAGTCCAGCGTTCCTTTTGAAAGGTACATCGGTCGCCAAACTCGCAACTCCCAATTACTAGCTGTCAAATACCACTCGCTCCTTTGTTTCGCACTTTGGCCTCTTGGCAGTACCCGTTTTCGCCGTGCGATTCAGTAGGCGGGAGATTCTCATCTGTCTGCTTCAGTCGTTCACCGCCAGGTGAAGATGCCTTACATGGAAAAGACTGGCCACGTTCAGCGAGCCGTTAAAAGATTAATATAACTCAGCCATACGCAGCTATCCATTCGGTCGGTTAATAAGTTTGAAACACTGGGTAAACACCCTGGGAAAAAGCGTCTCGTTAACTTTTCTGCAGACCACGTAAATGACTAATCACCGCGAACAAAAAAAAAAGTTCTAGAATACGATTACAGACGAGAACACTACAATGTGTCCAACGACAAGGAGCAAGACGAATAATTTTTTTAATGTCCTTGAGGATCACATATTTCAGGTCTAACCGAATTCTGACCATCGTCATTCACCGAGATTCTATCGTTCCTCGCAGTGATTCTCTGTCCGCCTGTTCTTCAGTAGACTGGACGCATCGGCTGTTTTAACCCGGGCACCCGGGCAGCACATATGGGCTGTACACGTCTACATGATACCCGTGGAGCGTTGGGACGTTCCAATGATGTCTGCAGAACCATATGTGCTTCCAAAGGCTGCAGAGAGCGCCGATCCAAAGGATTCAGCGCTCTCGCCATCCATCCATCCATTCATTGAGAAAAGGGGATAAACCTAGAGACAGCAGTCTGTGAGCTTACCACCGCCGTTCCGGTAGCAGAGGTAAGGGAACCTCCATATATTTCCCAGGCCCACGGCGTAGCTGAGGCACGAGAGCAGAAACTCGACACCCGAGGTCCAGTTGCCGCGCTCCTTGTTCTCGTCCACGTCCTTGGAGCTCGTGATGATGACCTCGGGGATGTCTGGCGGCGGCGGCGGCATGGCCACTGACCGGTGGTTTCCCTGCAGGGACACCAAGTAGTTGTCGGTTATCGGGGGAGACACGAGGCGGCGCCGCGCACAGAGGTACGGACGCTGCTCCTCATGTCAACATACAAAAAGAAACGGTGGGTTTCCGCTGCATACATGGTGACAGAATCACTTGCAGGCGCACCTCAAGCATCTTCGAAGCATGTCAGCTTTATACACATGCCTGCTTCGAACATGCTTGCAGACAGTGTTTTTGTACAACCAAGTTAGCAGGAATGTCATGCAAGGAAGAAACACCGCTTCAGTTAGTGCCTACAGGCTGACTTTTGTATGATGTACCAGCAGTGTAACCGCGACTTAAGAGCGCATGGAAAGAAATGCCGTCTGCTTCCTAACACCGAGCAAATCGCTGTTGAAATGTGGCACACACCTGTTGAGTGCTTACCAACCGTGCAAAAGGTGTCAACTCACACGCGGCATCTTGTATTGCGCAGTCGAGGGGTACTACTGCGCATGTTGAGAACGCTTTCCGTAGCCCAGTAAATCAGCATGATAGCTCGAAGCAGACGGAGTTAATTGCAACGGTCTGTATGTTCATGGTCGACTGTGATTTTGTCGTATCCAGGTCAAATGGAAAAATATGTGCAAAAGAGCGCTTTTTTGTTGTTGTTTAGATTACAGCAAATCAAATTGCGATTGTCAGACTTTTGATATACAAAATGTGTGTCCCCCCCCCCCCTTACACACACACAAAAAAAAAGAAAGAAAGAAAGGTGTGGATGGTTGTTCTTATTTTCTCATCGGAAAAGTAAGCTTCGCATGACCGAACGCTCATTCTCCGCCCAAAGAGTAGCGCTAGCCGTCCGTAGCAGATGCCTATATTTCAGAGCTCTTATCTTATTCAAAAAATATGCGTGATTTTTTTTTTTTAATTTCAGTGGGAAAATGGGGGCTGACGCACATTTCAAGTACATGAGCTGAGTGGTGTCAGTTACTGTAAAGGGCGAACCCTATTTTCTCATTGAAACTATAAGATATTCACATAGAACTTTTGAATAAGATAACACATAGTTCTGAAACTTTGGCGTCTGGTTCCGACCGCCAACACTATGAGCACTTGGCAATACGCCAATTATTTTTGCCGCAAAAAACACACACACAAATAAAGTTTTAAAGTTTTAAGTCCTAAGTTTCCAGGTTGTTTTCTGGCGATGTTTTCATTTACCTAAGCTTTTTACTGTGTTCAAGATTGTACTCCTTCCATATATATATATATATATATATATATATATATATATATATATATATATATATATATATATATATATCTTTCGAGCTCTTGCGCTCACCGTGAAAATCCATAAAGAGGCCGGTGTTGGGATCTCCGTAGGTTTCGCCTTGATCTCTCGGAAGCTCATATCACTCGCTTGATCGACGCACTCGCGTTCTCTGCGCACCACAAAAAAGCTTCGCGGGGAAACTATGCCCTCTCCGAGGCGGTTTGAAGACCGCCGCGATTCCGCCAAACTGCGCAACGGAATCACGCGGCTCGCGCACCCTATCGCGCCGCTTTTATTTCTTTCCCAACACCTCTGTTTTACGGACGCATCGCGTTTTCTTTTTTTTTTCCTTCTGCATATCTCATTTGGACGCATATCTCAAGTGGAGTCTGAGACTCGGGCAAACGGATCGGGAAAGTCTCGTGTGTTGTTATTTTTGTCCTATGTTTTCTCTTTTTTTTTTTTTTTTTCTTCCTCTTTTTGAGAGCCAAGTACGCGCAGTTGGCAGCGAGAACCTAGCTGATCACTGGTTTCTTGTTGCGATTGTGTTTTGTTGTTGTTGTTGTTGTTGCTGTTTTTTGTTGTTTCTTACGGTTGCTTTGTAGCATCGCACCTCCTCTATACTCACAAAGTCTGGAAGTTCAGCGGCAGAGCCATAGAGTGCCCGGTCGCAGATTTGGAGCGCGAGGATCTGGTAGCACAGAGCATCAAAAAGCCATTTCTCAGCGAACCTGGACGTCAGAGCACACCCTTTTGCAGCGGCGTCGACCCGAAACACACTTGTTCGCTCGGGAGAAGTGTGTTTCGGCGTCTTGCCGCAGCAGGGCGCCAGTCACGTGGCTCTCCTCTCATCCGCTGTCTGCCGCTCCACCTTTTCCATTTCGGCGGCCGCTTCTTGTGGCGATCTGCCAGGCTTTGTCAGTATATATGAGGCTATGGGTATCATGTATCAGCACTGCAACCCGCGGCTTTAAACATAGTTCGCTTACCTGTACAACACGGAGACAGCCAACCACAATGAACAACAGAAGGGTCCCGGCGAAAGAAAGTCGTGATTAGATTCGAAAAAAAAAAAAGCGATTTGTGCAGGGTCCATGCGCAATTGAAACGTCACGCTCACGAGCTTCGAGATTCGCTGGGATTCATTCTTCTTGTTCGCCGTGATTGGCTGTCTTCGTGTCATGCAGAAATATTTAAAAAAAATCTCACGCCTTTTTTTTAATACCGTGATGTTTTGAGAGATAGCCCATCTAAAAGAAGGGGCGAATGGTCTGAAAATCAGGGATGTGCTAATTTTCAGAGTGCGATCTTGAAAATATTTTTAATTGTATTTTTGTGTTATCTGACCCGCCAAACTTGTTTTCACGTTGAGGGGCAGTGTAGCGTACACAACTGTCCTTCCCAGTCTGCAATGTTTGCTTATTTCCCGCCATAGGTAACTAACCCCATTGCAGCCGGGGTTCGCCAAGGGCCAGGGCACTGCAATAATATAAGTGGGCTATCTTTCTGTATCTTTGAACAAATAAACTAGCTAATTATGTAAAAAAGAAAAGTAGGGGAGAATTATCTATGGGAGGTGTCGCGTCTTTCCCGATATTACCGTAGTCACTGACAGACAAAGAAACGCAGGACGCGGCTAGATCCGAGCATGTTATGATCCTTTCGCATCCAATAATATTAAGGGGATACTTGATAAGAACGTCACGAACAAATTGCAAAGCAAGAGGCGTAAACATGATAAGCCTACATTTCCTAAGCTCTCACTGAGTACAGACCTTTGCAAAAATCGCCTTCTGCGCGCTGCCATCTTTGTCTGCTGGGCTGTGGAACACGTTCTGAGCATGCGCTGTTGCTCTGCTGTGCGGTAGATCGGAAGCTGCGCGTGGGTCCACAGCTGAGTGACTCGGCATTCTTCGCCCGGGTGATAAGCGATGGATATGTCTATATGAAGAGCTGATTAATTAGCGCAAAATAATTCAATACAAAAAGCTTGTTCTGGTTTGTTTGCAGTCAAACGCAGTTATTGCAATCATCGTCGTTAGCATCATAATAGTCATTATGCAGCGAGGCTCGTCGCTCGTCGTATACATGAACGCAATTGGCATTGTGTCGTAACGAGTGATAATGAAATTCCATTTCCGAACAACTATACGCATCGCTGCTGTTCAGCCTCCAACGAGTACGAGGGTCATGCTTGAAGTCACATCCAGCCAGATTAGAGAATCTAGTTTGACGGTTCCGATGTTGTTTCGTTTGTGGACGTCTTGATTAGGGCGAGCAGTCTATTGCATCAAGTTGAGGTCTGGTCCAGTGTGGAAAAAGTCCGGCGTGCTATCGGAGCGCAAGTTTGTCTGCTTCTTGCGCGGGGTGGCGGTGACGTCAGAACATCGCCGAGGTCTGATTGGCTCCAATTGGAAGGATAGTGGGTAGACCCGAACGCAGCTATAGCACTGAAGTCTAGCCACTATCTTTCCAATCAGAACCGATTTGAGCTCGGCGTGCTGACCTCGGACGAACTTGCGCTCCGGATGAAGATGTTGACAACGATGCGTAACGTACCAGGAACCTAGTCAACACCATCTAGAATAATCAAACCTTGTGAACAGTCTACTTTACCTCCAGTTAACGTCATAGGGCTAAGATGGCGGAAACTCAGCATCTGGTCTGAGCCCGACGCCGAGTATCCTTCGACGTGTTGATTGGATACGAGGCCGAGTCGAACACCGAAGCAGCACTCGAGTCCAATTCATATGCATCGACGCTCGATCTCACCGCAGTGACGTCAAAATGCTTGTGCACGGGCTTTGATTATCATAGGTGTCATCGGGGTTGTCGACTAAGTGCACGCACAGCCGTGTTCAAGTGTTTTAGCGGATCGTTCCGATACGTGCGATTAGGATACCCGATAACGATACGAGGCATGCGCCAAGGCGCCAGAGGAGCATCGTTTGTCGTTATCTGAGTTATCGGAGCGATTCAAAACTCCCCCATGCTTCCGGTATAGGTTTGCTAACAAGACATATTTCATGCTTGCTTGTATGAATTTTTCTCGTGCTTTTAAGACACTTTTGACCGGTTTAAAAAAAAAAAGAAAAAAAAATACCAAAAGAGAAAGGAAAAAAGACAATGCGGGATCTGCGTCTCGAAACTCCGCGGAAAGAGACCTGCCGATATGGGGCAACGAAACGATCCAGACGCGTCTTCGGACTGAGAATGTGCTCGGAATACCGCGAGAAGTTGGAAATATAAGACAAAAAAAAGGAAGGGGGAGGAGGGGGAGGGGGAGCTCGAAGGACATCGCTTATCAAGGCCGGATTGCGGTGGCATTAGGTTCTATTGGCGTAACGCACTCGCAGGTAAACGTAGCGGTCTGCTGGGTTCGAACGACGGTAACTATCCAGATGTATGGCACTGAACTCGTCGGTTAACTCTTGCGACACCTAGAGGTACTTCGAGAGAACTGAGCGCCATTAAGTTGTCTGTTTAGGGTGAAGGTCCTGCATGAGTGCCACTACTTTTGGCTGGCAATCCGCAGACCAGTAATAGATCCCTTTCAAAAATCCGCACCGACGTCAATCCGCCATTGCTTGATCAGATACTCTGAACATGTGTTCGTTGATGTTGCTTGAATAATTTTTGAAAAGGGTCTATTGCCTTCATTATGCGCATTTTAGTAATAATCTTATTGGGATTCTGCATAAAACGAGGGAAAAGTAATAAAGTATGAAGGAACTATGGTGCAACCAACTAGGC